ACACCAAACTACGAATACACTTCATCAGCTCAATTATCAGTAAGCAACCCTTTATAGCATTCGATGGAACTTACCTGCACTGCTTGCACAAGCTAGACTCATCAATGAAGGTCAACACATGACTGCAGAAAGCCAGCTAGCATTGCTCCTCTGTCAACCAGCCTACTCAAACACACTCAATAACGGCACAAATCTCAGACCTGATTTAGACCAGGCCACCAGCAAGCTGGGACATAGAGAAGTATTATCATGAAATACGATTCTGGGATTGGTGGCCGTAAAGTATTTAGGGACATGGCAATGGCCCCAGCTCAATATCCTGTATTACACGATTAAAAAAATAATAATACAATTAGACAGTTGATATCTCAGCATTCAACATGCTATGGTGAGATAAACATCTGAAAAAATTATGTTAACCAGTATATGTCTGTGCTTAACTCTCTTAGAGACTACTCCAAAGAAGTACGTACGTTTAAGAGTCACACTTATTTAACCATAGCATGCAGGGGAATTGCAAGCTAAGAACATATTGAATGATTACTAATTGTATCTATCTTTCTTTCTGCTGTTTATTTTTTTTACCACTGTCACCTGCCATCAGACTAAAGAGAATGTTTGACATGTTCTCAGTGACATATCACCAAGGCAAGATTTACTGAGCACATTTAGAACGATGGATCACTTTAAAACTAGTAATATAATACTTGTCTAACCGGTAAAACTCTCATAATGCTAAATCAGAAATAACATGAATGCAATTTACATGAATGCAATTTCACATTTGCCACATTATCTTAAGTTGCTAAAAATAAATAAATATATATATATTGTACATTAACTGTTCGCCACCATTCTGTTTGCCCAATGATCTCAAGGTGTGACTCATTAGACAACAAGTGCACTTCTTTGGAGAAGAAACAAAAGACACTTTCACTTACTAGACAATTAAATTACACCTATACATTGTGGACTATACATTGCGGAAGCTGAGGAGGTAGAAAGTGTATAATAAAATTATATTTTTCAGCTTTACCGTCATGGTTACAGCAAATCTTGCTTGATACACAGACAAGTACTTATCTGTGTCTTCCCACAACCATAAGGGAGCATTATTAAATGATATAAGCTACCTTGGTTAAAACTTCATCCAAGCCTGCGCCAATATACACTGATTAGCCACAACATTAAAACCACTGACAGGTGAAGTGAAAAATATTGAACATATTGTTACAATGACACCTGTCAATGGGTGGGATATATTAGGCAGCAACTGAACAGTCAGTTCTTGAATTTCATGTTTTGGAAGCTATAAAAACAGGCAAGCAAAACGATCTGAGTGACTTTGATAAGGGCCAAATAGTTATGGCTAGATGACTGGGTTACAGCATCTCCAAAATTATAAGTATTGTGGAGTATTCCCAGAATGCAGTGGTTTGGACCTATTACAACAGGTGCAAGGGAGGATAACCGGTGAACAAGCATCAGGATTGTGTGTGCCCTAGGATCATTGATGCATGTAGGGAGCGAAGGCTATCCCATCTCGTCCCATCACACAGAAGAGCTACTGTATCTGAAATATTGCAACTGATAGAAAGGTGTCAGAACACACAGTGCATCACAGTGTGCTCTGTATGAGGCTGCGTAGTCACAGCCGGTCAGAGTGCATGATGACACCAGTCCACCACTGAAAGCACCTTTAATGGGGACATGAGAGTCAGAATTGAACCATGAAGGAAAGAAAGAAGCTTGCCTTGCCTGTTGAATCGTGTTTTCTTTTAGATCAGGTGGATGGCTGAGTGTGTTTGCATCATGGGGAAGACATGGCAGCAGGATGCACTATGGGAAGAAAGCGGGTCGGCAGAGTTGTGCTCTTGGTAATGTCCTGGCATTCATGTGGATGTTATTTTGACACCTACCACGAGTTTGTTGCAGGTCACATACACACTGCAAATATTGTTCAGGAATAGTTTGAGGAACATGGTTAAAAGTTCAAGGTCAAGCCTTGGCCTCCGCAACTTGCTGAACTTAAAGGATCTGCTGCTAATGTGTTGGTGCCAGATACCAAAGGACACGTTCAGAGGTCTTGTAGAGTCCATGCCTTGATGCATTAAAGCTGTTTTGACAGCACAAGAGGGACCTACACAGTATTAGGCAGGTGGCTTTACTGTTATGGCTGATTAGTGTATTGTTCCATAAGTTCAAACTCAATTTGTAGGCATATCTCACAGTTAGATAAAAGAGGGTGAAAATGAAAGTGTGAAACATTCTTCTGAATATGAAATCTCCTTTTTCAACATTTCACCTTGGGGGTTGTGGCTATAAAGCCTTTGCTGTTTCCTACTGAGGCAAAAGTAAGCTCCTGGGGGCGCTGTATAACAACTACAGCCAATTGTAGTGATTATGGCAATGTTAGCAACATTACTGTGTCAATCTTTTTTGTGTGATTTGATAGGTCGAAGACACTACTGGCCTGGCTCCTTACATGTTGTATAGCAAATGTACAAGTTTCACTTCTAGACACACAGTATCAATTTTGGTCATATTTGGAAGAGGTGACTGGCTGTACATGTCAGCTGACAGTCTCAGCCAGTCAGTGCTTTCCAAATATGGCAAGCAAGTAGCTAGATTATGAGTACCAGGAACACTTTCTGTTTGTATCACACTACTCAAAAACAGCTTGACATAGAAATAGCAGATAGCACTAGTAACCTGCTAGCAACATAGCAATACCATGATAGTTTGTAGTCTGAAGACCAGGGGGAGACCACCTTTAGCACCTCAGATGGTGTGGACTACATCTCCCATAATGCTCTTACAGCCGTAAAGCTGGCAAAGCATCAATGGAGATGTAGTCCACAACATATGGAGTGCCGAAGGTGGTCTACCTTTGTTATAGACTGTCCCTTTAAGCACATTCTTTGAAATACATATTTTTCTAGAGTATGTCCCTCACTCAGTGCATTTATGTATATTTCTAAAGCTTATCTTGTCATCCACATGATATGTGCATGAGCAGAACAGTTCAGCTTAAAATTATGATTAATAATAATTTAAATATGTGAAATGTACTGTGTACAGTAGGTGTATTAATAGTGACTGATTTTAGAAAAAGATCATTGAGATCCTGTTACATCTGATTACTTTTTTTCAGCTTTGTTTTGCATATAATTGCTAAATATTATTATTTTTATTTATTTTTTACTAATGCTAAGCTGATTTTCCAAAATACTGCTAATGGTTTGCTATGTATAGGTTATGTGGTCATATCTATATTTTTTCAAAGATTCTTAAATCTTTAGAAATCTTAAGACTGCAAGTCACACACATTGTGTAAATTAATAAGTGTGCCCTATACCTATTGTCATTGCTCTTTACATACATACTATTGTGGTATTGCACACACATTCATTTTTCTCCCTGATTTATGTTATCTTATGCACACTTGAATGATTTATATAAAGAATTTATATAAAGTATTTAACAAATTTCTGCCTCCCATTGTGCAATTTATTTTCAACTTTGTTTTACTTTGCTCCTCTTTCCATTGCTGGTATCTCAAACAGTTATATACAGCCATTAAAAGGACACTATAGCCACCAAGATAACTTCCTTCTGAAATTATTTTGTGTCATTAATGCTGCAGCTTTAAAAAAAATAATAATAATGTTACCAATTACTAATCATAATTCACTGCCCCTGGGGACCTGCGAGTCCCATTCATTTGCCATTTACACAGGTTATGGGTCCTGCGAGACTAGTTCCAATGATCGCAAATTGGGACCTACTTGTCCCCTTCTGTTAATTATTGATACTGCATTGAAAAAGAAAACTTAAATATTTTTATTTTTTTTAATGATATTTACAGATTAGTCACACCTCAGTTTAATGTTTTATATTAATATGTAAATAGAGATAAAACATTAGTAGTGCAACAATATCCTATGTAGATGTCGAGTGGCCATAATTGCACTAACTAAAGACATTGACTTATACCCATAAAGAAAAATTCCTGGAGAAAAAAAAAAAAAGAGTAAAAGAGAATAAAAATTAGGCTAAGAGACTTACCAATATCTGTTGCCTGGTTTCCCCCAATGTTTGCAAACCTTGTAACAGATCTTGGAAGTCCTAATCCAATGCTTGTACTCTTGCTGTAATAGCTATGTGACAAATTGAAGAACTAGGTCAGTCCACTTGTTTGGTGGCCGAAGGAAAAAGAAAGGCATCCGACTGCTTCACAGTGCACCTTGCTGCCGATGCCTGACTAGCTGGATGTCGATTGGCAAAGATTCCTGAGATATTAGATTAATCGGATGCTCAGGAGTTGCGAAAAATATTGTCTGTGTAGGTTCACAGTCAGGCTCTGCCCCCGATGTTTAAATTTTTTTTATATTTTTTATTTACTATAAAAAAGGGGCACCTATTTCTAAACTAAAACAGAGACACATCAAATGAAATAAAACAATTACATTCTGCGATACTTGAAATCACTGTTTAGTGAATGAGTAAGTGTGCTGGATTTTGTATAGTATATATATAAAACCAAAGATGCCTGCTCTTGAGATTAATCCACTTACTTGGGAAATACTTCCTTATTGGGACTTAAATCATTATTTTTTGCCTAGGTGACACACACACACACAATTAGAGTTTTGATTAAATATTGACTTGAACATGTTTTTTGTATTTAATTTAATAAACTATTTTCCAAAACTATGACAAATATAATGACCTTAAAAAGGTCTAAAATGTTATGGTTACGTAAAAGCCTTATAAAAAGCTAAAATGCTTATTCGTACACTATTATTTTGTTTTTGAAAAATCTTATTTCCTTATTCAAAATTGAGACTTTTTTCAAATTTTAATAATGAGTACAGACACAGGGCAAATATTTTCTGAATATCATGTGCAACCATTTAATTGAATTACTTTCCAAACACGCTATATCTTAGGTGTAACTATCAACATTCCATTTATAGAAAATAGTATAGATATCGGATGCACAGACTTAGATTAGGAAATATGAACACTTTCAAATATTGCTTTAGCATAGACGTCAAGAAATCCATCAACGGTACTAAAGTGATGGTCGTATCAGAATGATGGCCCTCCAAACTGAAATCGTTATTCTTGCAACCCTGACAGCAAAGCAAAATTGGAACTGCAAATACAGTGATTTAAAACCTCAAAGGCAGAAGTGAGCATTTCATTATATCTGTATCATATAGCAGCAGGCTGAGAGAAAATCAAGGCTTGATCCTGATAGCTGCAGCGTAATGGCCTCTCACTTTTTGCACCAAACATGATATTGCTGGGGATGTAGCCTTCCAGAATTAAATAGTAGTTCCATAGACGGAATGATTGGTTGCGTGGATGGATTTCTATACATTTCTAGAGAAGCAAAATATTGTTAGGAAGAGGATTTAGAACGGATTATCAGTTTAAGCAAAATAAATTTACAAAATAGAACTTTACAGATGCTGTTCTACAGGGCCAACAACAAGCATTTTGTAGACAATTAAGTGACCATTTTAAATAATGGTACTATATAGTATAACTTTAAACCATCAGATTGGTAATCTACACTATATATATATATCTGCCGTGAATTGTGGTGCAGGTATTTTTCGTGTATTCATAATGTTTCTGGATACATTTAAACAAGTATGATGATATGAAACCAGTACTAACAATAATTAGCCAGTTTGCATTTAGGTTAAACAGGCCTTGGAACCAGTAACAGAGCTGTGGGAAATTGACACAGAGCTGTAGTTCAATATGAGCCTATAAGAGCAGATTTGCAATTGGTGTTGCCTGGTCTTCAAAGAGACTTGCATGCAGAATGACTTTAGGGTAAATGTGCTCAACATAAAAATACATAACTCTAGCCCTGAACATCACAAACAAACAGTTTCCACTTTGTGTATGGTGGCAGGAGAATGGGTGCACAAAGTTTAATATGTGCATGCTTGCTTCTGAACAGAATCAGATCTGCACTTCAATAATCTCAAAGACGAACACATGGCTCTGTTGGACAGAAACATGGGGAAGCCCAACTCCTGCCACTTCCAGTTGACACAAGCAGAATTAGACAAACTAGTTGCTATACAAACATCATTGCTACATGTAAATCAATAGTGATCACCAAAATAAAGCACAAATCATCAAAACCAAATATGTGAACATTGTTCTTTAAACAAACCACTGATACAGCTAGCTATATAACAGTATCCAACATTTTATTTTTCATTTTATACATACGGAAAAGCACATGGTTTATATATGAACATACAGGGTTTTTACATTTTATAACTATATATATGCTATTATTTGTTCCCAGCACTGTATGGGCAACAGGTGCTATAACGTAGCAGGATCATCTTTACGCTTCTTTACTGTATACCGTGGTCGTCAAGGAAATACATTGCTCTCTCTTTCACATTAATCAATTTTATCTTCTTGTGTTTAATAGCATCCTCGATGTTTGGCTCTAGAACATGATGCAATTCCCACTCATTTGCTGCCAATATCATGGAATAATGAGTGTTAAAATTGTATTGTTCACGTCATTGTTAGACATGTTCATTATAAATCTCCTTTGTAAATGGGAAAATGCTATTTAGTGGTCAGTCCTTCTTGCGTACATCTGTCCATTTGCCTTTATAAAATTATAGGTAGGCACACTTGGAACATTTTTTTATTTTATTTATTATTATTATAACTGAAATGTAAAAATGTACAGTTCTTCAGTTTCAGGCAATTTCTTCATTAGCTCAATCAATTTAAAATTAAAAGTTAAAATTCACAATGAATAAGTGTAGCGTCTAAAAAAACAAAATAACACAAAAAAGACCATGCAAAAAAATAGTTTGTAGTGCCAATTCAAAGTGCTAATCAGAAATATAAACTGCTGCCTTTAAGTGCTTACCCTTCATATAATAAATGGCAATGTGTATCCAACTTACAAATCACACGTCCAACCTCTTTAGTTATTCCTTTTATCACTCATTTAAGTATTAAACATACAATGTGCAAAAATCCTCCCCATAGAAGTGTAGAAATCACACACAAAAATCACCAATACTGCACTATTATGTGATGTATTGGTGAATTTGCATATGATTTCAACACTATGGGCAGGGGGTGTGTGATTTTTACACAATGTGTGTTTAATACTTAAACTAATTTTATATTTTAAAAGAAATAAGGTTACTTTCTAGTACAGAGGAAATATCCATGTGTGATTTGTAGATTGGATACTCGTTGCACTTTATAATATTAAGGGTAAGCACTTTATGGAAGCACTTACTATAAATGATTAGCACTTTAAAAAGTTGGCACTTTGAATTAGAACTAATAACGGTTAGTGCTAATTTTGTTGCATCGTCATTTTTTTTGTGTTATTTTTTTAGGTTCAGTTTGTTTTATTTTGTGCGAAGGTAGACATTTCACAGTACACAGGTTAAGAAGCATTATCGTAAACAATACATTTGCAGTGAGATTTTCAAAATGTGGAACATACAATATACTGGAGTACAAATTAAATAGAAAATCCATACAGCCATAACATAAAATAACAGCATTGTGTAAAAAATCAGCTCATCCACACCCAATGAAGGGTCTTACATTTCTGTGATTTAGGGTGACTTGAGAGATAATAGATATCCCGCTCACTCTAGCAGTATCTCTGTAATAGATTTTGCCTCCCCGTCTGAGACTTGACATAAGGGTTGTTTCAATGTTGTATAGGACTGTTCCACCCTACAGATATACTGTGAAGGCAAATAAATAGCCTGGTGTTTCCATAAACATTCAAAATATGTTAGCATGTTTGTTGCAGTGTGTAATGTCATTTTTAATTGACCTGAATACTGAATGGTCTATAACTTGTACAAGACTAGGAACAACAGTAGATTTCCACCGTCTTGCAATTAACTTAATTTAATTTTAATATAAGAATAGTTATAAGCACCATTTTTTTTCTTGTGATTAAGGCATTGTTTTTAGATATAAGCTTAGAAGGGCAGACTTGGGTTGTAACAGTAGTGTGATGGCTATTTGTATTTGAATATAATGAGTTCCTTTTATATCGCAAGCACCAAGGGGCAACAAAACCATACATGAGTGTAAGTACCTTTGTCTTCACATCCCCTCCAACACAATCTTCAAATTAGGTTCTCTATGGGGTGTATTGTTTTGTTAGTAAAGGTTGACATTATTTGTGGAGTAAAAAGGATGTGTTGCACCTGTTAGTATTTATAAAAGTAGTTTCTAGGTAAGTCGTATCTATTACCTAGTTGCTCAAACAAAATGAGAGAGTGTTTTCCATATAGATTCTTTATGTTATAAGGCCCTTTTTTCCCACAATAGCAAAGACAGATTCGGCAGCCAGTAATTAAGACTCTGCATTGGGGCTACCCTTGAAATACCTGATAAAATGGGCACCAAGTTAAATAATTTTCACCATAAGTTTAGTGAGAGTCGGGTTGTAGACAACCTTCTTTGAGAGTGAGCTGTCTCTTGCGGCACTCATAGTTGGTTTACTATTCGTTGAAAGGTCTGCCAATTATCTTCTACATCCATCCACTGTTTACAGAAAAAGATTGTTTGGGCTAGAATGGTGGCTTACCAGTATTGTAATAAATTTGGATCTTACATATTAAAGGTTCCATGTCTCATTACATTCTTTATAGCAAAATCTCAGCAAAGCACCCTGCCGTTAACACCTTGGAACTTGGGGTCAAGTGTAGGTCCATTATTGCGGTTATGAATTCTATTGGGAAAACAATCTTTTTTCGAGAATTATTTCCATATATTTCCAATGAAGCGGGTTGAACATCTTCTCTGTGTACTGGTCATGTTTTAAATTGTATAGAAAACTGTAAAATCATGCACACAGGTTATACATTGCTTGTATGTCGTACATTTTATGTCCCTGTTCATCCAGTAGGTAGGGAATAGCAGAGGCCGCAGTTTGTTAGCTAACATGCGACTTGCTTTGTTACTTTCCATATAAAACCAAGATTTACGTCATAACATATACACAGTTTGTTATAATAGAATCTCAATGATATCTCATTTAACTTGTTTCAGTAACTGAAAGGTACTGTCAAACAGATTACTCTTTTAGAGTTGTTACAATTCTCTTAATTGGATATTTAGGTATATTAGTAACTTTTTCCTTCATTTGCAGAGGGGAGTTGCATGGGAAATAAGTCCTCTAAGGACCAACTTGCGTGAAAGCCACAGAGTTTCTGTGCATTTTTCTGGACTGGCATTTTCCTTAAAGTATGTTTGTAACTGTGGGGTTAAAAAATTATTTGTATCGCCTATTGCAATAGAGAATCATTTATATTTATATATTGTTAACAGGAGTAGTCCCAGAAGATTGGAAGTTAGCGAATGTTGTGCCCATTTACAAGAAAGGTAATAGGGAGGAGTCGGGCAACTATAGGCCAGTAAGCCTTACTTCAGTAGTGGGGAAAGTGATGGAAACCATGTTAAAGGATAGGATTGATGAACATCTAAAAACACATGGATTTCAAGATCAGAGACAACATGGGTTTACTTCAGGGAGATCATGCCAAACTAATCTTATTGATTTTTTTGATTGGGTAACTAAAATTATAGATCAGGGTGGTGCAGTAGACATTGCTTACCTAGATTTCAGTAAGGCTTTTGACACTGTTGCACATAGAAGGCTTATCAATAAACTGCAATCTTTAAGTTGGATTCCAATATTGTTGAATGGGTAAGGCAGTGGCTGAGTGACAGGCAACAGAGGGTTGTAGTTAATGGAATATATTCGAAGCTTGGACTTGTCACCAGTGGGGCACCTCAGGGATCTGTACTTGGACCCATTCTCTTTAATATTATTATTAGTGATATTGCAGAAGGTCTTGATGGTAAGGTATGTCTTTTTGCTGATGATACTAAGATTTGTAACAGGGTTGATGTTCCAGGAGGGATAAGCCAAATGACAAATGATTTAGGTAAACTAGAAAAATGGTCAGAATTGTGGCAACTGACATTTAATGTGGATAAGTGCAAGATAATGCATCTTGGACGTAAAAACCCAAGGGCAGAGTACAGAATATTTGATAGAGTCCTAACCTCAACATATGAGGAAAGGGATTTAGGGGTGATTATTTCTGATGACTTAAAGGTAGGCAGACAATGTAATAGAGCAGCAGGAAATGCTAGCAGAATGCTTGGTTGTATAGGGAGAGGTATTAGCAGTAGAAAGAGGGAAGTGCTCATGCCATTGTACAGAACACTGGTGAGACCTCACTTGGAGTATTGTACACAGTACTGGAGACCGTATCTTCAGAAGGATATTGATACCTTAGAGAGGGTTCAGAGAAGGGCTACTAAACTGGTTCATGGATTGCGGGATAAAACTTACCAGGAAAGGTTAAAGGATCTTAACATGTATAGCTTGGAGGAAAGACGAGACAGGGGGGATATGATAGAAACATTTAAATATACAAAGGGAATCAACACAGTAAAGGTGGAGACTATATTTAAAAGAAGAAAAACTACCACAACGAGAGGACATAGTCTTAAATTAGAGGGGCAAAGGTTTAAAAATAATATCAGGAAGTATTACTTTACTGAGAGGGTAGTGGATGCATGGAATAGCCTTCGAGCTGAAGTGGTAGAGGTTAACACAGTAAAGGAGTTTAAGCATGCGTGGGATAGACATAAGGCTATCCTAACTATAAGATAAGGCTAGAGATTAATGAAAGTATTTAGAAAATTGGGCAGACTAGATGGGCCGAATGGTTCTTATCTGCCGTCACATTCTATGTTTCTATATATGCCGTCTAGTAAACCCCTGAGGCGAAAATCCAATATTTACACTTAATAACAGTGGCCCATGATCCGACCAAGCAATAGGTTCAAATCTAAAGGTTATTGACCAAAGGGAGCAATGCAAGGTTTGTGAGAAAGTAATCTATTCTACTGTTGTTTTTATAAGCATGTGAGTAGAATAAGTAATCCCTAGCTGTAAGGCCCTTAGTTCGCCAAACATCATATAATGGATATTCGTGTAAAAGTTTCCCGATCCCCTTGTTTCTTTTTTGGACTCTGCGGTTGATCAATTGTGGAGTAGAAAAGTCTAAGTCTGGGTCATGTAAAAGTTTAAAATCTCAGCAGTATACCATATACTTTATGTGGAAAGTAGACGCTTTATGTTAAAGGATCAAGAATGCTATATGATGTACTAGGTTTCCCCTCGAATGCCTCAACAAATCCTGTATTTTTTAACATGTCTTCTTTATGCTGTAACCTATTTTATTAATATACAAAATACATAAATAAAGAACTCTATCTGTAAGCCAATGTTCTACCCAAGACCGAGGATTTTCAATAACCTTTTGTGTGGAACTATATCAAACGCCTTGCCAAAATCCAAGTAGATCACACCCTACATGTATGTATCTTGGCCATTTATAGTAGCTGAGATAATGTTAAACCTGTCTTTTGTGTCATTCTTTACCGTTTTAAAGATACATTGCAATGCTTTATGAAACACGATCGAGGTTCCCCTAGATTTAGTAGACTGCATTAAATGGAAATTGTGTGGGTACATTGGGTGATGGAAGTATGCCATTCTAGCCAATGCAAAATGGGTTTCTTACACGGAGATAATGTCTGCGTGTACTCTTGTCACCTCATTCCAAAGTAATCTGCAATTGTGGGCAGTATTTAGCACATTAACATGTAAAGATATTATTATAAGTACCATGTGCAGTTGAATATAGAGGAAGCTCTGAATACATTGTATGGCTTTAAGGAAAGGCATATATTAGTATAACAATCCCAAAAGTATCCATGACCTGAGGATCTTGAACACACAGCAAATCAATGTATGTAATACTTATGTAAGGCAGTTCAATCTCCTTTCAATATGTATAGTTACAATCCCAACTGGAATGGCGGCATGACATTATCACCACTAGATAGGGATGGTAAACGAGGCCTTGTGCTTGAATAAGTGTGTGTGTTATACTGCTTGGGATGGCTTATATAGGGTAATTGAACAAATTTACAAAATCTAGGAAAAGATAAGATCTATAACAAACTAATTAAACAAAATAAAGTATGGCACAGAGGGGGAGTCTAAAGTTTTTTTTATTTTTTTAGTTTTTTTTTTTTTTAGTTTTTTTTAATTGAAACAGTGCTTGGTAGGAAGGTTTATAGCCACAGTTGTAGGTCAGGGACCATTATTAAACAAGATAGAGAAAAAGGACATGGGTATATGTAAACCACTGGTAAATTTGGAGAGTATATATCTACCTAATATGAAGCATATAAAACAACTATTAAACATATTAAACATATGTTGAACAGGTATTGTAAGTAAAGAAAAAACAAAACTGAAAAATAATGAATTCTGGTACAGATTTTAAGAAAAAGTGTCTTTGTACTCTATTTTTATTTATGGTATTTTTAGAAAATTTCACATTGTCTGCAAAAGAAAAAAACATAAAACAAAAATCTGGCTAGAGAAGTCTGTTCTGTTTCTAAAATCATGTTGTTTTTTTCACAATAATTCCTTATCTGTTTTTTTTATTTTTTTTATTTACTGACCTGGTAATCAGTAAATAAAGAGTTGGTAGATTAAACTTTTTATATATATTAGCTAGAAGTTGAAAATAATTTAATCATTAAAAAAAACTAAATAATAATAAAAAAAAATTAAAAAAAAATATATAATTAACAATATATAACAATGAAATAACAGAAATTACTCATTGGATGCACACCCTTATGTAACATGCTAAGTATGGCGTTTGCTATTGCTAAAACCATTAGGTGAACTGCAGAAAGGCATGGAGAATTAAAATTTCATGATAACGTAACAAGACAAGTAATATTACATTTTCATGACAAGATATGCAATCTTCTACTGTGTGATGATATGTATTATGAATTATAAAGTAGTCACTCAGTAAAATGGGTTCTTCCTGGTATAATGGAAATGTCCAGCACATGACATATTAATACAAGCTGATAACAGTCCATTAATACCTTAATAGAAGTATATTTAAAAGTAAACAATAGAATGTCAAGAAAACAAAGCTACAAGCACTACTTGTCCAGCAATACCTGCTCCTTTAAGACAGAATGACTTCCATTATCCTAGAGAATCCTTCCAATTATTTTGCAATCCCATCTTCTCCTTGTTATAAGAAGAAGTAAGAGGTACTGAGAGAGGATAAATACAAATTATCCAGACTTGCATTTGCCAAAGCAAACAGCACATATCACTGTGATACTCGATAAAGTTCCTTAAACTGACTGTACACAATGTTTCATCTAACATAATAGATTCCATCACTTTCATACAGCTACTAACGGATCTGTTTTTCAAAAGCAATCTGATGCCTTTCTTTTCAATTGACTGATATAACGAAAACAGAATAAGGTCCATATACTGCATGAAACTGGATGATGGATTGAAACCAGCGCCAGTGCTTTAATTTACTGAGAAGAACTGATAGCTAGGGAGAGTTAACAATGTTCTGCACCTGAAGGAGGTGCAGTACACAGGCTCCTTTACATTAGTAAGGGGACAATTGTTTGATGACCTTATTGGGTCATGCAGCTGAAAATTTTGCCCTTTGAGCCATAGTTCATAGCAAATGCCAAAGTGCCTTATTGAGCCAGCCTGAATGATCCTCAGCTTAGTATTTCAGAGGTTCTGATTTGAGATTGTATTCTCTCATTCATTGTTCATGGTAATATCATAGAATGTGAAAGTGGCAAATAAAAAATGCAAATATATATATCTATCTATCTCCCGGCTTCATTATACTTTTGATTAAATACTGTAGAAAGACTTACAACATTTTAACAAAGAAGAACAAAAATGATTATGATTCAAATACAATACCATATACACATATCAACAAATAACATCACTCACTAAACACCAACTTTAAAGCTCACAACATTTAAAGGGACACTATAGTCACCCAGACCACTTCAGCTCAATTAAGTGGTCTGGGTGCCAGGTCCCTCTAGGGTTAACCCTGTCTGCTGTAAACATAGCAGTTTCACAGAAGCTGCTATGTTTACATTTGGGGTCAAGCCAGCCTCTAGTGGCTGTCTTCTAGACAGCCACTAGAGGTTCATCTGTGACGCTAGCGGTATATTATGCCTCCATCACGCAGAGTGTCCATAGGAAAGCATTGAAAAATGCTTTCCTATGGACACTTTGAATGCGTGCGCGGCACTGCCGCGTCAGCGGGGGAGGAGAGGTAAGGGAGCCCGGCGGTGGAAGAAGGTGAGTAACTGGAGGGGGGTTTTAGCCCCTTCAGCACCACGGGAGGGGGACCCTGAGGGTGGGGGCACCCTCAGGGTACTATAGTGTCAGGAAAACCGAATAGTTTTTTTGTTTTGTTTTTTTAACACCTGACGGGTAATAATAATAGGGATTTAGTTACAGTATATGATCATACATATATTCTTTAACATTAATTTTGACTACACCATTTTAGGGTAGCACTACACCTCTGATCTCAGCAGATGAGTAGTTGGGATTATTTTGTTTTGTTATTGGTGACCTTCCCAGATCTAAGAAGTTTGGACAAATGAATTCTCCTATAGCATGTGACATGTGTCTAGGGCTCAGGGGCCATATTGCCTTCCCTACTGTGATCTTATATAGTTTATGATCATACATGGCATTTATCTTTATAAGCCTGCCACAACGCCACCTCACCCAATTTTTGGCAAGTCAAATATTATATTAGCAAAGATATGATTTCTTCACTGCAGTACATATTATATTGAAGAGCAACTGAAGAAGAAAAAAAAAAAGATGTGTTCTTAAGAAAACAAAAAACAAAGAAAATAGACAGCAAAGGTAGATAAAAATAATGTACTTCTGGCACAGAAGCTGGGCAATGGCTGCTTCCTTTAAATGCCATTATGTAAAAGCACAGAAAGGCATGATGTAAGTAAGTTCCCATGATCCCTTGTATGCCATCATTCACAGCCTTGTAGAACATTAACTGCAAATGACAGCAGGAATATCATAGACAATGTTAGTCAGGTTTACTTACCTCCACTTCATGTTCTCCATTAACAATCCAATATCATTTACTGCAGTAAATTAAAATATAACTGTCACCAACAGAATATTGATAACACCTTTTGAAGTACTCAGGAATGTCACTGCTCAGACAAACTGTAATTTCTCTAGTTATAAAAATGTAGAAAACATGTTTCACTTACCTTTGTAAATATCGTCTGTTAAATCCCTGTTTTCTACAATGTGAAGGAGTGAAGCAAATTCTAGCTGAAACAGAAAGACGGGAAAATGCTATTATCATAAATTAATAAGAGTCCATTTTAGCATACATACATTTTGAAGGATTAACAGACTAGAAGGCAGGAAACAAAAAATACACATAAGAGATCTATTAAACACTACAATGGTCTTAGTATGTGGAAAACAAAGATGCCGTAAGCTCCTTACACTTAATATCCTAATAAACAAACAATATGCCATTGCCAGGATAAAGAGGGGCTCCTTACTGCACAATACGGCGGCTTTTTAACAACATGTTCACGGCATGTTGTAATCCACAAGAAAATTTGATATCTTGTCACATTATAAAAACATAATTTCATGACTAGCACACCTCTATGTCAAAATTCTCCAATAACGTATTGGTGGGCTAAGTATTATATGTATCGTTGTCTATCTCAACATTTTCATAAGAAAAAAAATGGCACGTCAGTAAAGCTAAAAATATATCATTTGATATATTTAGCGAATGGTATGCATTTATGGAGTAATTTAAATATTTGAGCTACTAAAATACCCCACCTCAAATTTAATTTGCCATTTCATATATTTTTTTTTTTTTTTTAAATACTACTATTGGGCAGGTTATAAATCCGGCTCTGGATTTTCACAAAATACTTGACAAGGGTATATGAAGTGCTCAGGAGACAGAGCATTCTGAGCTTAGGAGACAGAGCCAAGCACAATGGTATGCATTTATAGGGTAACTTTAAGTGTCAAACTCCTACAATGCCCCCCAAAATATGGAATATGCTCGTCAAATTATCCATAACCCCCCCCCAGTAAAAACTGAAATAGTCAGGTCTCTGACACTGTAACTTTGCAAGACAGTGCCAAAGACATACATTGGGGGTACTGATTTATTCAAAAGAGTATGCTGAGCATAATTAGGGAATCTGATTGCAGTGGCCCTTATTAGATTTGAAAAATGCCAGTTTAATATGAAATGTTTATATAAAAAATGCAAAACTATTTTTTTACCACAAACTTTGACAAACTGGTGAAGTGGAAAAATGTTAAGGCATAATATTCACAATATGAGATAATCTGTAGTGTATACTTCCACAAATGGTAGGCCTTTATGGGGTCATTTGAACAATCAAACTGCTATAACGCCCCAAAATGATTCATAAACCCATCTCTTAAATTCCGATTGTAAAGACTGAAATGGTCAGGTCTCTTATATGAGGCTATAGCTTCACAGGATATTGGCAGATGCATAAATTGGAGGTATCATTGTATTCAGAGGATATAGCTGAGCACATAATGGGATTATGCACAGTAGTAGCACTCATGTTTACAACATACAGGTAAAAAAAAAAAAAAACCTTGTTATATATGTGTATGCTGAAAATCAGGGGGAAAAAAACTAAATCTTACTCCAATATTTAGCAGAGATTGGCAGTGAAATGGCTACATAATAAGTGTCAAATTACCCTTGGTAAATAGCCTGTGATGTCTACTATATAAAATTTTATGTTGCCGTTGTGTTTTCTGTGACGGCTATAAGCGTGACCTGTTATTACCAAAAATACCCTGACATTAAGAGTTAATTAACATACAAACAGTTAATAAACGTTTTGTGATTTGAAAATTTACATTGTAGTGGCTGTATGTATATTACATTTGGTACAATTTAACTTGTGCCACTAAGTTAATTGTGTATTTGCACTAATGAAAACATGCATGCATTTAGTTATGCAATTTTCCATTAAAGGTTTATCTAAAAACAGCTTACAAAACCTGCAGATCTATTGTCTAAAGCCTTTGCAAGCCTTCCCCCTTTTTTTTGAATTTTTTATTTTTGTTGTGCATGAGAATTACAACAGTTCTTGCACAGCCACAATAGCTTTCACAAGCTCTATTTTCATTTGATGCAACATAAACACGGCTTGGAGATACCTTGCACATTTTTTATGTTTAGAATACTATGACATGCTAGGTTAGGTATGCATATAACTTCGAGCAACATGAATAAGTGCACTCATGCTCATAATGTGATTTGCAGATCTTGTGTAAAAAGCTGGTCAATTTTATTATTTTCTATTAGTTGTAACATGTTATGGACTGAGGCTTAAGACACAATAGCAGTGTGATAAAGTGGCATATGGAAACTTGCGAGGTTATATTGGTATATTGGGTAACTATGCTTAATGTAGCTTGAGTCCCACGATAGGTAGAGAGAACAGTAGGTACGGCTAATGCTGAGAAGAAACCAAAAATGTTATAAGAGCATAGCTTGTGCTGGTCTGTGCCACATTGGGGGGATGGCATTTTTTCAGTGTCCCTTTATAGCAAGTTCACTGGGCCCCTGTCAGAGTCTCTTTCACCCGATACCTTCTTTGCAAAAGTAGTGTACGTCCGGCGCTCGAGTTCTGCTTCTCGCCGCTGTGCGGGTGTCTGTGGGGGTGTCCCGTCCCTCCCGCCCCAGGCTGGCTTGGAGGCCTGCACCCTCTTGCCACTAACTCTGTTACCGCTAGGGTCCGGGTTTCCTCCACGTGTGGGAGTGATGGGGGAGCTGGTCTTTTCCTGTCGCTTGCGTGTCTGGTTCCTCCGCCAGTGTGGCTTGTGCTTTGGGGCTCTCTGCCCTTTGGCCTGCAGCCCAGGTGGGCTAGACTTGGTGTGGGTAAGTAGTTGAGGCGGCGTTGTGCCCGAGGGCATTCCCTCCACTCCCCGCCGTCCGGGGTCCGCTTACACAGCGACGGTGGTGCAGGTGTCATAGTTCGATGCTTGTTGCCGTTTCATAAGTGTGTCCCAGAAGCGGTTCAGTATCGCCTCTAGGTTCTGTAGGGGTGCTTTCCTTGGAGTTTGTGCCGAGTGCGTGCTTGCCATGTGAGTTGCTTTGCCGGCTGCCATTTTAGGTGCTCTCTGTAAGGGTCTGCAGCCTTTCAATTCAGGGTCAGGCTTGAGCTGCTTGCTATTTGAGTCGAGTGCGGACCAGGATGACCCCCACCAGTCCAGAGGGGGGGGGGGGAGGCGAGTGTGCATAGGGGGCTGTACTCTGCTTTACCACCCAGGAGATTGTCCGCCTCTCCCTGGCTCGGTCGCATGTAGGCCCCATGTGCTTTTGGTCAGGTTCCCGGGCAGTGTAAATCTCGTTTGTAGGTTCATTCGATGCCCCTTGGGTCCCTTGACTCGTGTGCCCTCTGGCTCAGAATCGTGTCTGTTTTCGGGGTATATATGCCCAATTTTGTTGCTTTGTGCAGGAGATGATTCAGAGCACATCTGTCCCTTCTAACCCCACCCAGACTTTCTCTGGCTGTCCAATCATAGACTTCCCAATGCAGCTCAATAAGAAGCATTTTCAAGAGAGGTACTGAGTTTAAAACTACTGAGCTAACTAAATCAGGAAGTAACAAGACCTGTTGTCTGATTGACAGCCAGGGGGTGCAACAAGGTTAATTTATAAAAGTGCCAATTTCTAATGAAATCTGCACTTTTTGCAAAAATAAATAAAAGGACACACACCCCAGGTGGAAATGTTGGATAACTATCAGTCCTAATACTGGTGTTACCTATTTGAAGTACAGTACTCGGTGTACTTCCCAGTGGTGAAACTAATAAAAAGGGTGCTGGTGCACAAATTCCCCTGTATAACCGCAGTGCCCAAAAGGTAAATCTTAAACAACTGTACAACTCCTATGATACTTTGCCAGCTGAGAATCTACCAGTTGCCAATCCTTGCAGGGTTGTGTTTGTATATATATGCACATTGTCACACACAAATACTGCTGCACACTGTAATACACATGCACACACACAGTCAAAAAGGTGGATACATTTAAATAACTGTAGGTTTTTTAGTATCACTCCAATCGCCAAACACCTACAGTCTTGGGATAGTGCACAAGTAACTCTTTTCTTTTGTTTTTTCTTGTATGTATTTGGACTGATGTGCACTATAGTCATTGCTGCCGCCCAGGAGTAGTGTGAGTCTGAGCGCAGGGCTTAATTTTGTATATTTGTATTTGCTTTTGTATTACACAGCCATGTTACAGTTCTGCCTCCCTGCTAAGGGTTGATACGTATGTAGGGGTTTAGAAACATACCATCTGTCTCATTAGAGATTTTACCTGAAAGCAGCAAGGTGAATTGTTAGTGTAGGACTTATCTAAGAGGTTTGCAAGTCTTAATTTTGTATGTTAAAATTTTACTAGGCTACTTGAAATCACCTATCCTGGCAAACTAATATAGGAGATTTAGTTACACACAAATATACTCAGCAGCTTTAAAAGTCCAGCTCTCCTTCCAGCTGTGCACACTATGATTGCCTTCCCTGGGTAAGCCCCAGTAACTCTAGTTCCAAGCTCCCTGCAGCCCTGCCTCCCTCTCTTGCACAAGGGAATTACTGGCTGTGCCAGCGCTGACAGGTAGGGCCTCATGGCATCTGTACGCGTATTGCACAATGGCTAGTAACAGCGAGCCCCCCTACTGGCTAGGCCCTTGGTACAGTTGCACTGATGTTGATATTTCCACTTCCATGTTGCGGTCAGTCACTGTTTGATCAAATCATGACTGTTTTGACAGAAAAATACATCAGGGTATTCAATTCACATTTCCACAGAAACTTAAAATACTGAATCCAGATGTAAATAAAAAAAAAAATAGCTGCTCACCTTGATAACCCACAAACAGAGGATTATTTAGGTGTTTGTTTTCCTCCCTCTCATTCCTTCCATCCTCTTCCTTTTGTAAATAATTTATTGGAAAAAGTCCAAAACTGCACATCTCGATAATACCAGAATAAAATAGTCTCATAACAATGGCCATGTTTTTCACACATGAACAAACTAGTGTTTACCGAATTGTTTTATCCCTGTTAATACAAATCTGCATAATGTCACCATGTCTGACATGCGAAAGTCTGAGAGTAAGCTCAAGAAGCTCCACTGTACACTTTGTTTAGCACTAAGTCGCAAGGTTTCTAGTCTTACTTTTCTTACTCTCCTTCTACAACTATTTGTGACTATGATATGTTGTGTTTTTTTCATAAATTAAATACAAAATTAAGAATTTTAAAAAACCGACAAAACCCCCCCCCCCTCAACTGCTGTGTAGAGCGCAAAGAGACCACACTTCCTTCTACTGATTCCAACCTCTTTCTCCTACCTGTTTGTGGTCCTTTGACTTTATCATAAATGACCATACATGACAAAAAACTACAGTCAGCGTCTAAGTTCACAAACTCCAGGACCTCAATCAGTGGTTCAGTTAACGGCAACACAGCCACTACACCTTCCTGTAGAGTTTATGTTGTTTAGTGTCTCCTGGTTAATTGCCGTAGCGGAATATCAACCCATTTGAAATATACAATGGATGTTCCCAACACCACTACCCCATTTTCGCTACGTAAACACACTTTTTCATTGTCAATTTCATCCAACATATTAAAGGAGCACTAACATGTATTCCTGACCCTATAGGGTTAAAACCACCATCTAGCTACCCTGGTACCCTCATGCCTCCCTAAATGTAGTAACGTCTTACTTGTATTCAAGTCTGGAGCTGCTTACTTTGTCCCTGTTTCCTATAGATCTGCCCACTGCCTGCTGACATCAGCAGAAATGGTAGCTTGATCCAATCACAATGCTTCCCCATAGGATTGGCTGAGACTGACAAAGAGGCAGATCAGGGGCAGAGCCAGCACAATTCAAACACAGCCCTGGCCAATCAGCATCTCCTCATAGAGATGAATTGAATCAATGCAACTCTATGAGGAAAGTGCAGTGTCTGCATGCAGAGGGAGGAGACACTGAATGTTTGGATGCATTTTAGGCAGTCATTACTCAGGAAGGATCTCTAACAGCCATCTGAGGAGTGGCCAGTAAAGTTATCACTAGGGTGTAATGCAAACAATGCATTTTCTCTGAAAAGACAGTGTTTACAGCAAAAAGCCTGAAGGCAATGATTCTACACACCAGAACAAATTCAATAAGCTGTAGTTGTTCTGGTGACTATAGTGTCCCTTTAACTGGCAGTGTGTGTTGGGGGAATATATATCCCCTCTCACAGGAGCTCAAGAACCCCTGAAAAATGTGTTACCCATGGGTCCCAAATGCTAGAGATTGCAGTGAAGTAAGGTGAATAATTATCACAACCTGTTTAGAGCTTTAATATGATATTATGTAATTGATTTATCAACTTGCGAGTGCAGAATGATATGCTTATGCATCTAGATTAATGGCAATGTGATCTACACTATTATACACATATACATTCTCACGCTATTTATTATACTGTATAAGTATTTATAAAGCTAAGATAATGCTAGAAATAAGTATCAGAAATGCCTAATATTGTATTCTACAGTTATTTCCCTCATTATAATATTTTAGAATTAGCAGAGGTTGTTGTAATTCCCAACAGAGAAATTGAGCTCAGAAAGTGTGATTTGGTGTCTGACAGAACAGCTGATTCCTTTACATTAAACACTCTCTCTGGAAGCAGGTCAAGCAGTACATCTGTGAAGTCTGTGTCGGAATATTTGGTGTGTGTGTGTATATATATTTATTAGTAATACACAAGTGTAACACATAGCACGCATAACTGTGGAAAGATTCATGTATATAATATATACATGTGTAATATTTTTGAGAAAATATTACGATTAATAACAGCTATCAAAATCTCAAACCTACTGCTTTTAGCACCATTCATCAACTCTGTTCATACCATAATCTCTAGCAAAAAAACAATAACACACGACCATTGCAATATGAATTTGATTACCTTCAGAAACTAATTACATTCACTTTAAAAAGGTTATTATCTTGAGAAAATTTACATTTGAAAATGGCAGCACAATGTGGCTATTATAGTCTGTTTGCATTAAGATAAAATTATATTTTTTCAAAGACTGCTTATTATAGCTTGAATAAAAAAAGAAATGAAAAATAAATTAGAAACTTTGCACATCCTGAGTGTATATTTTAGAAGTGACTGTTAGATTACTGCCTGCCTTCCGAAAATGTGAAACTCTGCTATTTCAAATTGATGTCTCATTTTCATGGTTTACTTTTTAATGAATAAAACTGTGTTGGGTGCTATTCTTTACACTTTACACAGATATCTCACATCATCCTGACCCCTACCACCATGACCTAAAAGCAGAAGTTTATGAAAAAAAAGCACAAAATGCCATTTCTATAGTTCTGATAAACTCTAGATCCCTTTACAAATGGTTTACATTTTTTTTTTTTAGATTGCACAATGTCCATTTGACCCGAGGAACATTTTAAAATTTTTTTTTTTTTAAGTACACTAGTGGCTTCTATTTCAGATGTCTGGGCATCTTTGGAAATGTAGTTCACTAACATCTACAGAGATGCAAGTTTAGCCATCACTGCCTTATGGCATCATTGACAGTCCAGAATATAAGAAAAGGTAGAATTTTCTTTTATTTATTTTTTTAAACTGAAATTGCTTGCTCAATTCATGTGAATATAAATGACAGGAGAGCTAATAGCCAAAAGATATAGTGATATACGGTATTGTACTTTCCATGAGCAGGAGGTTAACGGCTGTGTGGTACTTTCTCTTATAGCGTCTTCTTTCTTCGTCTAATAGGTTCCAGGCTCAATGCAATGTCAAGGCTCATTTTCAGTGAGGACATATTTTATGCGGCTGACAGGCTACTTAGATCCTGACTACTTAGAATGATT